GAATGCTTGTGTGTGTGTAAAGTTATATACTGTCAAGTTGGAACCAACTCATAGCTGATCCTCCAGAGAGTTTTCAGAGGCAGTGAATCTCATGGAAGGGGATTGTCCATCTTTCTCCTGCAGAGAAGCTGGTGGATTCGAACCATCTGTCTTCAGGTCGGCAGCACAGATCTTACCATCAGGCCACCAAAAACAAACACATACACAAACACTCCCTCCCTCCCTCTCTTTCTGCCTCCCTTCATCTCCTCCCCACCAAAACCCAAGACCCCAGAACAAGGAAGTAGTAGGATTCCTTCAGAATGATTTAGCTGCAGTGTAGAGAACTGGATGACTTTTCCAAATATCCTTCTAGTCTTTCCCAGATTAAACAGCAGCACTATAAGCAAACATATGCAAAAACAATAAAAACAAAAGCAGCTAATCACGGTCACCCATTTAATCAGATCCCTATGCTATGTTTAAGAGCACTACATGTTTGTCTTGGTCCTGACAAGATGTTTACAGGCACAGAGATGCTGTAAGTTATTAAACTTGATGATTCAGAAAGATTTGATGAACATCACCTTAACAATGACATTATTCCAAAGAAAGAAAGCCGATACCTTCTAGAAACAAACACAGATCTAAAAATGCAAGACATCTTGCTTTATATAATAACATCACCTTGCTGTCCAATCAAGTTTTTGGACAACTATTGATAAAAGATTGTGGCAACTTTTCCCTCTACTTGAACTCTGCTACCTTTGGGAGATCTTTGGGCTGTATTTGCTTGAAAGAAGTGGTAGAGAGGGCCTGGAAAGATAAGAACTCTCCCTTTATTACTTTGGTCTGTAAAACAGAACAAAAATAGGTCAGTTAAGGAATTGATGGCTGCATATATAAATAATGTAAACACTCTGATCACTCTCCTGGGAAGGAGATTTGTCAAGCAGACAGATGCAGACACTCAGGTGCGACCAGTGTACCACTCCTGTTCTCAGTCCCACACTTACTGTTCTCAAATTCTAAACTGTCCATTGGAAACATGATTATTATCAGTTAAAAATAACTGGGGAATAAGCCCTGGCACTGATTTAACATGTTTGACTTTTGTAAGCTTACAATTAACATGTTAGACTATTGTTGACAAAATATTTAACTTTCCCAGGCCATTCATGTAAACAACTTTTCTAATATTCCTTAGACATTCCAAGAGACACACCTTACTGAAGCTTCTCTGGCCTGTAAAGGCCACACATTCCCAGCTCACAAACACCTTCACTATATTGCACATTTAAACCAGGATTTACTAGGACCTTCAGGGACACTTAAGAACACCAATATTTCAGCCTTATCTTGACAGCACTAAATCTAAATTGCCAACCCCTTCTATTTACAATAAAAGCTATTTCACCAGACAATTGAAAGCTCAAGATACTTTTAATCCTTGGGGGAAACTCCCTGGTATCACCAATTCATTGTTTAACAGTTTATTAGTAGTAATGTTGCTAAGATGTCTCACATTCCTGCGGTGCTTTGGTTTTTCCAAAGCTGGTTCAGATGAACGTCTCTCAGCAAAGCCACACCATGATTGCTCCCTGGGTTTTACAGGTGACTGTTAAGTGACTTTTCCCAGATCACATGGCTGCTAAGCACTCAAGGGGGCAGAGAACTAGGGTCTAGTCTCCTTATCCAGTCTGCTTTCTTCTCTTCACACCAAATCAGAGAAAAATATCGCTCAAATGAAAGACAGGCTGGGACCCACTTATCTACCCACCCTAGCTGTACAGTAGATGCAACAGAAAAGAGCTTGTTTCAGGCAAAGGAGAAAGATTAATAATGCACCAAAGAAGTTCTCAGTCTTATTGTTCCATGGACCAGCAATCATTCTGCTTCATAGTTTATGCAAAGATTCAAGCACACTTTATCTGGAAAATGATGTTGCACATAGAGCTTGCTCCAAGAAAGGCAGGTGTGCTCAGGCCCTATGATCCAGGCCCTCACAAAGACCCTATTCCTGAAGTGTGTGGAGCCTTGGGGCTTCCCCCTGAAACTGTTCTTGAGCTAAAAGAAGAAACTGGCTGGCTGCGTAAGGACTGCAGAATCAGGCTCTTAACGTGGACAGAATTAGATCTGGCCTGGTGGTTATTCGTGCATTGTTCTTGAAACTTGGGCTATTGAAAGGACTCAAGACATTACTACAGAGTCCTTGCCACACCGCCCCGCTAAAGCACTCGGGTCGTTCACTCAGTAAATGTCACAATAGCTGTGTACTGGGCACTGCACTAAGTTACGGAGCACACAGAGCTTTCTGCATGGACCTGATATAGATTTTATTTGGGAAGATCAATATTCTCTCCCTTGCTCTGAAGGACACTAATGGCCCTATAGCATACAAATGAACGATTGGAAGTCATATATTCAACACACTCAGACCACATGAATCGGGTTCTGGAAGCAACAGCGATAACATGAAGAAACCATTCTGCCACTTGTTCTCTGCAGAGGCCCTTCTAAATGAATAGTGTCTCTGAAAATAAGAGGCGCTCATGTGAAATGAGACCTGCAGATGTAATCGGCTGGGTGAATCACTCCCAAATGCTGAGGCCTCCCTTCGGACACAATGTTATCAGGTTAATACAGTACCTGCATCACCAACTCTGATTACCCTGCTGAGCGCCAAAGCGCCAAGTTTAGAAACTAAAATGGAAGGGGAATTTCCAATAGCCAAAGGGGTGGGAGGTGGAGAGGGGGCAAGCCTTATAGCGGCAGTACAGGTTTTCAGGGAAAAGCAATTGTTAGAAACAATTCTCACTCCTTGCCCTCTCCTCTCACCATCACCACACTCCAAAGGAATGCTCCAGGAGACGGCTGGTGGGTAGAAAAGAGAGAACAGCCCCGCTCTAAGGATGAGGGGGGGCACAGGAGCCACCTCTGGCTCCTGAAGAAGGAAAGCCTTTAAAAGTTGAGAAGGGCCAGAGGCTGTCCTCTTACTCCCAGCTTGGGTATTGTTATTGTCAAGTTTCGATAACCCCTGAAGTTGGTTTTATTTTACATCCTGAAACCTCCAAAAAAGAGAGGCAGCCTCATTTGATTTCCAAGGGGGAGAAAAGGAATAATAATAATAATAATTTTAAAACCCCAACAACAACACACACAAACAAACAAAACCCCCAAAGACTGGGGCCTTAAGCCAACACACACCTCCACTGGTGGTGCTGGTCAGAGGCCTGGAGCTGCAGCTTCAGGACAGGCCCACACTATGGCCCTTTAACTGCCCTCCAGGCTTGGCACCAATGCAGAGATTAGTCTTTTCCACTGGGTTTGGGCCGGCTGCCTCACTCTGTGCATCATCCCCAGAAACACTTACCAGGAGACTGCGAAGTACACAAAGCCGTATTATTGTGAGACTTGCAGACAGATTATAAATTTACTGGGGACAATCAAGGCATTTAGATACTTTTGGCTGCAGATGCCGGTGACACACACATACATACAAACCTCATTCTTCTCTCCATTGGAACCATTCTTTACCACTCTTCCACCCCTCAGCATCTCTCTTTCACAAAACGAACTCCCACTGCTCTCTAAGGGAATTCCAGGGAGAGGTGGGGATAGAGCAGGTGGGAGAGCAAGGAAAGGAGGCCTCCAAGTGCTACCATAACCCCACAGGCTGATTGTATTGGGGGCTACAAATGCTGGTCAGCTTTGCTGTTAGCAGATATTTTATCAGGAGCTGGATTCAGGAAGTTGTAAGTATGGGTGTTCTACACAAATGTCTGATTGGTAGGGGAAAAGGGCACCATCCAAGCTCCGGGGGTTCCCTGGAAACTTTATCACTATGGACCCAACCAGAGAGGAAGCGGAACCAGATAAAAAAATGCTATGGACCTAGTTGGACGGATGCCCCTCTGCCTAGAACCCAGTTTTGGGTCCCTCTGGATGAGGACATTGTTGGGCTACTGCCATCGCCCTGATGTTTTGAGTACTTTCAGGCTTGCATGACCATTTCCTGCCGCTGACTTTCATTAGTGCTGGTTTGGGTAAACTGGAGTTGTGCTATGAGCAGAGCACTGGGCAAAGGAGGAAGCCTGCCTGGCTGCAGGATAGGGCTCCACCTTCTACCCAGAGGCCGCTGGCCCAGCCACTTCTGGGGAAGCCACACAGGGCAAGCAGTCACCTGACCAGTCCCAACACCCAGAGCCAATGATTCAAGGGATCCTCCCTCTGGGATGGGGTGTGTCTATGCCTGCGAGAAACTTAATCAGAACTTTGGGGTTTGATATTCCTGTCACCAGGAGTGGCTGAAGACATGGCACTTCCTAGGACGCTATCTGTGTAAAAAGCTCTTCTCTCCATGTTAGCTTTGATGAAGACTGTCAGTCAGTACTCTTGAACTGGCAGAGGTCATAGGAAATAGGGGAGTAGATGTCTTAGCAATAGCCCCTTGGCACTCTGTCTTCGGATATCTCCCTCAACATGTTTGTGGACTGAGAGGACACTTGAAGGCTTACCCTGTGCTACAGAGCACCATTTATATTCTCTTTACCCAAAGACATGGGCCTATGCTAAAACAGAAGAGGAATGGGGCAAGAAGGAAAGGGCTTTTACTAAAGGTCGGTCTGGATGATAGAAGCTTTCAAGCTGATGGGCCTGGTGGGCCTAACCAAAGCTGGTTGCTTCAGAAGGAAGATTGACACAGGGCCTCTCTTGGTGGCTCAGCTTTTGTAGTCTTTTCTACAAGCTCTGGCCCTCAGCAAGTCTCTAGAAAAAATGCCATTTCTCACCAGTTAAGGAGTCCCTTAGGTGTGGGAGGAAACCATTGAATGAGCCCAGCGGAACACGATGGTGGGAGCACAGAACTGCACAAGCAATATATCCAGTGGCCTTTGAGGTGGTCAGGCGACATCGTGGCCCTTTCCACTGCCACCTGCGTCAGTCAGGCCCATGCAAGTGCCGCCTTCACAGAAAGGCCTCAATGACCACAGCTAGAAGCGCGAGAAAACCAGGTGCCTTACCGCAATCAGGGCCGAGTTCCTCTGGTCCCCCGAGGTGGAAGCTGGTGGCTGCTGCTCGCCGTTGATCCCACCACCGCCACCACTGCTGCTGCTGCCCAGCAGGTGCTGCTGGTGGTGGTGGTGGTAGTCTGGCGGGGGCGGTGGGGCCCCTGTGGCTGCTGCCTGGGAGGCCGGTGGTGGGGCAGCGGGGGGCGGGGGCGGTGCTGTGGTGTTGGCAGCAGTGGTGTTGGCTTTGGTGTGCTTGCCGGCCTTCCTGGCTCCCTGGCCATGCTGGACAAGGCTCAGGAGCTGCAGGGTGCTCTCCCTTTCCCTGTCTGAGCTCTCGGCCCTACCACGTTCATAGCGTCCTTCACAGCTTAGGTGGTGCTGGCGGCAGACGGCTATCCGAGCCCGCAGGCGCTCCACAATTGCACTGTGCACTCTTGGGGTGACTGAACCCCCTCCAAGGAGTCCCGCCCCGGGAGCCCCTCCTAGCCCTCCTGCTGGGGCCTGTGGGGGCGCTGTGTCCCCCATCTTACTGGACACAATGATTGCTGTGGGGATGGTGAGGTGGAAGGAGGCTACTGCTGGCTATTGTAGGCAAATCTGTTTTGGACCCAGTGAGCTCAGCTTTCAGGGCCACATGAATCGAGATCTTCAGAGGTTGGGGGGAGCCCTGGAGAGGTTGGGGGAGGGTGGGGAGAAAGAATAGGAACCAATTGGAGAGGCTCAGTTGAAAACAAACCCTGATCAACTTTCTCTAATTGCGTTTGACAGCTCTGGAGAAGTTGGCCAGAGTTGGTGAATTTTTTTTTTTTTCCCCTCTCACCAAACTGACAAGAGCCACTAGGTACTTTGTAAACACTGGATCTGGAGAAATAGATCAAGAATTCAGGGATTGTCAAGCGAGAGAGAAAGAAATAGGCAGCGAAGGGAACTGAGAGAGGTATTAATAGAGAACTGGACTCCCCCTCACCTACTTGTTTGGGAACAATTCTTTATGGGGCTGGATCTGCTGAGAAACACATTTCTACCTCCGTCTATAGAACCCTCGCAGCTTTCACTTTTTGGCAATTTTTGTTTTTTTTAAGAAAAACACAACAAATGTGCTGTTTCAGATTCCCAAAGTCAATGTTCAAAACGTGCAGAAACCCGAGGGGAACCGTCTTTGGACTTTCAGTTTTTCCTTCCTTCCTTTCGACCCCGATGCTCCTCTTTGGGGTTCTGTAGAATGTTGTCTTCTCCCAAAAGAGGGGACAGCGTTTCAGTTGTTAACAATGTCAGTAACTGGACTTTTGGACCATGCTTTCCCCCCCCTCTTCAGTTAATCCAATCACCGGTAAAAATCCTCATTCCCTCTACGGTTTCCTTGCTTTAAATGAAAGCAATCTGAAGTCGCCAGCCACTGAGAGAGAGATCCTTCACCACATTTTTTTTTTTTTTTCCTTTCCCGCTTACGTTTCTATTCCTCACCCCCGGCTCTATTCTAACACAGTATCAAGAGAGACAAACTCTGCCGAGAGTAATTTATAAACGATGGTCAAACTTACAAACTTCCAGCAAATTGCACGGAGTCATGTCCAGCCACTTTTCTGTCCACTTTTGTACATTCCATCCCCGGCCAATGGATCTGAGGGTCTGGACTCGCAAATAAGCAATGTGCTTCTATCTCTTGTATTGCTCCGCTTTATAGATGGGGAAGGGGAAAAAAAAAGTCGCTTGTATTTTCTTTTCTCTTTCTCGTCTGTTGTTAGCCGCTTTGCTGACACTGGCTCCACTGCCCGGAGTCACGGCGGTACACAGGCTTTCATTGTGCTCCGATAGGAGAGGGAGAGAAAGAGAGAGAGTGAGACAGAGAGAGAGAAAGAGCGAGCCAGCAAGCTGCAGCTGGGGGGGGTCGGGGGAGGGCGGGCGAGCCTGTGCGCCGCCCCCTGCCGGACGCCTGGCGCCACTGCACCAGGGAGCCACTGCGGCCCGCACGCCCAAAGGGGAGCGCAGGGGCCTCCCAGCGGCCGCAGAGGTAACTCCCGAGGCCGGCGCGTCTCCGCAGCGTCCCCTCCCTCAGACTCGGCTGGAGGCGGGGAAAGGAGGAGGTGGGAGGCGGGGTGGAGAGGCTGGGGAAATTCCCCAACCCCTACAGGACGCTTTCCACCGGTTCTCGAGGCTGAAGAAGTTTCCGGCCAGGGAATGTAGCTTCCCTCTCAGGTCTACATTTTAGTCCCCTGAGAATATCGTTTTCATTTTTCAGTGCGTTGGAAAATGACACCACTGAGCACCCTAGCGAGAGCTGGGTGAGCCCTGAGAAAATGCTCGAGGAAGACAGTCTATACACTCGTGAGAGAGAGAGAGAGAGAGACAGAGACAGAGACAGAGACAGACAGAGGCGGGGTCTACGTCTACCTACTTGCCTGTTTATCTTCTGACTGCCTGTTTATCTATCTTCTGGGTAAGTCAGTCTGGGAGACTATGAGCAAATCAGTACTCATCAAACAACTTCTTTGCTGTCAGTCAGAACCAGCTCATAACCAATCCTCTAGCGGTTTTCAGAGGCTGTAAATTGCAAGAGTGGAAATTGCCTTTCTCCCATGGAGCAGCAGTCGGTGTATTTGAACTGGTTGTCTTAGGGTTGGCAGCACAACTACTTACCCACTAGGCCACTAGAACTCCCTAAGAGCAAATCAATAGGTGTAGATATTTTAGGAGGACGATGAAATGATCAATTCCAGGTCTAGAAGTTAAAAAGTGGTGGAGGTAGGGCTGAGGAGGCTCTTTGTAAAGACAAGATTGCTTTGGACAAACCAAATGAAGATCTGAGCCGTCCAGCACTGCTTGGTTTACATAGATGATGAAGAAACTGAATATGCAGTAACTGGACTTCATGAAGTTTGATAAAACAAACAGAACCCTTAAATTAGACTTTAGTCCTTTCATTTCCAGTGATGACAAATACCGGGTGGATTCAGTTAGTCATTATTAACTAGGCAGAAAAAATTCAAATGAACACAATATAAGTGTTAAAATGATGACCATCCTAGGTGCTCTTACTTGGAAGTGATTCATATTTGAAGTCTCAATAAAGATTATAAAACTAGTATTTCGGTAACATACCCCCACTTCAAATTGAAGTATGGGCAGAAATTAAGCAGCCTTTTTAACACAGCATATATTTACAATTTAGTTCCCTATAGGCTGACTACTAACTTATAGTTTCTCAACTTCTGGAATGTTAGTTTGGGGACAAGTACACGCTGATGGAATAGAGCTTTTTAATTTTTTCATTCAAGCAGTTTTATCTGTCCCTTCTAAATATAGATTCCACATCCATCTTACAGAAAAAGGCAGAGAAGTAACTTTGATAGGTATGCAAAATTTGAAGGGAGAACTCTCATTCATGCTCACAACCGTCATGTTATTAAAAAGTGAAGATATTTTTATTATCTTACATTTCACAACCTAAAAGTGGTGTATATTAGTATGTTCTTTTCTTGTGAGAATGTCATATCCAATAATCATACTTGATCAAAGGGATAAAAATATTTCAACTTACACCTTACTAGAGGAGCCACAGGAACACAGTGTTTAAAGCACTCAGTTGCTAACCAAAAGATCAGCAGTTCAAACCCACCAGCTGCCCTGCTGAAAAAAGATGTGACAAGCTACACCTTGGAAACCCTCCAGGGAGTTCTAGTTCAAAAGGATTGCTATACATTAATTGGAAACAATGTGATGGTAGTGGGTTTATTTTATTTTTTTTAAAATTCACTCTATAGCCTTAAATTGCCTAGAATCCTTCATCAAAATATTCTTGTTAGGTGCTGGAATACCAATCCTGACTCATAGTGATTTTGTGTAAAAGAGAACAAAATCGCCTGGCCCTCTTTACAGTTGTTGCTACAATGAAGCCACTAGGCCAGTTAATCTCATAAAGGTCCTCTCCTTTTTTCACTGATTTCACCAAGTATGATGTCCTTCTCCAGGATCTGGTCCCTCCTATTAAAATGTCCCAACATAGGTGAAAGGAAGTCTCACCATCTTTGCTTCTAAGGAACATTCCTGTTCCTCTTCTTCCCTGATAAGGTTTCATTTGTATGGCAATGCATGATATACTAAATATTTTTCTCCAATACTATAACCCAAAAGCATCAATAACTCTTTTTCATAATCTTTATAAGAAGGTCATTTAATAGGTTCTTTTCATCAATAACTCTTTAATAATCCTATGTATTGCCTACATTTTTCATGGTGATTGAAAACACCATGTCTTGGGTCAGGTACACCTTAGTCTTTGCTTTTTAACACTTCTGTAGGTTTACCAAATATGGTGTACCATTTTATTTATCTTTTTTTTTACCACTGGTTCCACAATCCACAATGCTGTTAGGTGCTGTTGAGTCAACCCTGCCTTGTACAGCAACAAAACAGATGGAAACCTTGCCCTCTCCTGTACCATCTTCACAATCACCACCATGTGCACGTGCACTATTGAAGTCAACGTTCACTCATCCTAAGTGATATAACCTATCTAGGAAGAAATGCAGCCAGAAATGCTTATTATCAGGAAGGGCTAGACACTGGAGAAGGACATCTCCCTCACTGAAGTGGAAGATCCTCATGAGATGGTGTGGCAGAGTCGCAACAATAGGTTGAAACACAGCAACAATGCTAGGGATAGCTCTGTTACTATTTCTTAGACAATCACTGTTTCAGGCATAGCTTTTTTTTTTCCTGTTTGTTTCTCACTCAAACTTACTGGATTGCTGTAGAGTTGGAAACCACTCATCGCTGACCCTCCAAGCAGTTTCTGGGGCAGTCAATTACATGGGAGGAAACAGTCCATCTTTCTTCTATAGTCACTGGTAGATTTAAACAGCATAATGTCCTATGGACTATTCCACCAGAACGGCTGTGACTCATAGCACCCTATGTGCACAGCTTACTATGTATGATTTTCCTTAATCCACAAGTGGGGCCCCAGTGTGGTATGAATGGTTCCTGTGTTCCAATGTCAACCAAAAGGCTGGTGATCTACTTCTGAGAAAGCAATCACTGAAAACCCTGTAATGTTCTACTCTGATATACATGAGGTTGTCCTGAGTCAGAATTTACTTGATAGCAATTTGTTTCATTCATAAACAATCCTGATAGCTAGGTATTTGTTAAGCCATAATTATGAATGAGAAAACTGTGGCTCCTGGAAAGAACTTGTCCAGGTTATGCAGCTGAGAAGTGACAAACCATAGCTTAAAACCATTCTTTTAGGGTGGTATGGCCGTAGACTAAAACCATTCTTTTAACCAGAAGACTTGCTGTCTCAATTTATTTAGTGTGGAAAGCTATAAGAGAAGGGGAACTGTTCCAAAGTAATTTGTGGACTGCAGTTACCACACATGTACTCAGCAGTCTAGTGAGTGATCATACTCCCAAGGAATGGGAAGTGCACAGAACTACGCATCTGAATAAGGCTGAGAGCAAACAGAATAGGAAACATCACTGATTACATCCAATTGCCCTTTTATGGTATTTATCTGAAACTATCATAATCCAGAAACATCTGTATATGGACTCTTTCAAACATTACTTCCCTTTTGCTTGTGTATTTCTGTTTTCTATATTATCTCTATTATCCATAGCAACCTTGTACTAAAGCATCCAACACTAGAAGTAACAAATGTATACAGCTAAAAAAAATAATCAGACAGAAGATCTAGAAATTCACGATTTCTTTTTAGTGTTATAGTGATTGAACGATTGGCTGGCATGCACTTATTTCAGCAAGTAGCATCTGATCAAGAACCAATGGCAGTAGAGGAAGTCAATTCTCTGAAAGAATTGGAAAAATAAGGCCCCAGGAATTGATGGAATATCAGTTAATGTATTTCAACAGACAGATGCAGCCCTAGACATGCTCACCAGCTTGTGCCAAGAAATCTAGAGGACAGCTACCTGGCCTACAGACTTGAAGAGATCCACATATATTCCCATTCCCAAGAAAGATGATCCAACAGAATATACAAGTTATTGAACAATATCATTAATATCCTATGCAAGCAAAATCTTACTGAAGATTAATATAGATCTCTTCCAGTCAGTTGTCCAAGTGGTTGTTCTCCAGATTTCTTGGCACAACATGGTGAGCATGTCCAGGGCAGCATCTATTAGCTGAAATATGTCAATTGGTATACCGTCTATTCCGGGGGTCTTATTTTTTGCCATTTCCTTCAAAGCAATCTGAACTTCTTCTTTCATCACCATAGGCTCTTGCTCATATGTTGTTTCATGAAATTCTTCTGTGTCTTCCAATTCCTTTCGATACAGTGATTCCGTATATTCTTTCCATCTTCTTTTAATACTTCCTGGATCATTTAACATTCTGCCAAAAGCATCGTTGATTATAGCTACTCGAGGTTTGAATTTGTTCTTCAGTTCCTTGAGCTTAAAAAATGCTGAGTGAGTTCGGCCCTTTTGATTTTCTGACTCCAACTCCTTGCACATTTCATTGTAATATTTTGCTTTGTCATCCTGTGCTGCCTTTTGAAATCCTGATAGTATGCATAGGAATCAGATCGATTACATCTGTGGAAAGAACTGCTGGAGAAGCTCAATATCAGCTGTGAAAACTAGGCCAGGAGCTGATTGTGGAACAGACCACCAACTACTCATATGCAAGTTCAAGCTGAAGTTGAGGAAAATTAAACCAAATCCAAGGCAACCAAAATACGACTTTGAGTCTATCCCATCTGAATTTCAGAACCATTTCAGGAACAGGTTTGAGGTTTTGAACACTAATGAGTGAAGGCCAGATGAGTTGTGGGAGGATATCAAGGGTATCATCCAGGAAGAGTGCAAATGGTCATTGCAAAGACAGAAGAGGAAGAAAAGACCAAAATAGATGTCAGAAGAGACTCTGAAAATTGCACTGGAGTGCAGAGAAGCCAAAGCACAAGGAAGAATGAAAGATACTAAAGAGTTGAATAGAAGATTTCAAAAGGCAGCACAGGATGGCAAAGTAAAAAAAGACAAATTAGTCCCAGGAAAATCTGTCAGGTATCTCTGTAATGTGCTAAAGAGCAATGATGTTAGTCTAAAGAGTAACGTAGCCTAACCCTAGCCATGGTCTTCTCAACTGCTTGCTATGCATTGGAAAGCTGGACAATGGCTAAGGATGAAAGAAGAAGAGCTGTGGTGCTGGAGAAGAGTATAGACAACCAAGAGACCAGGTCTGTCCTGGAGAAAGTGAAACCGGCATGCTTCCTGGAGGCAAGGATGGTGACACTCCATCTAACGTACTTCAGGCATGTAATCAGGAGAGGTCAGTCCTCGGAGAAGGGCATCATGCTAGGAAAGGTAGAAGACCCTCAAAGAGCTGAACTGACACAGTGACTGTGGCAATGGGGTCAAGTGGGTCAGAGATAGTGAGGACAGATCCACAAAGGAAAAGGTTCAGAGCCACTGTATAGTGTTGCTATGAGTTGTAGTAGACTCAACAGCATATAACAACAACGTATTAAGGAGTAATACCAGTAAAGGTTAATTCTATTCCATCAAATTTCCATTTTCTTACTTGCTTTTTGGTGCCCTTATCCTTAATTCTCACTTCCTAATAGCCTGTCTCATTGCCATTCTTCTGGTGTTATTATGAACCTTAAAACCCCTCTGAAGTAGCTTACTTGGTTGCAGTGGCCTCAGACAGGAGAAAAGACATTTTCTATTGGCCTTTTCTCATCAACGGTCAGGATGTTGTTATAACAGAGCAAGTGCTTCAGACCAAAATGATGGCTAACACAGGAAGGAAGTAATCTGCCAGCATCAGTCCCCAAGATCATTATTCCCTGAATGTTACAAGTAAATGCATCAAAAGCAATAGTTAAGTAAAAAGCACTCTAGTTGAAATTCTTTGTCTTTGAGCTGTCTAATCTTGTTTGCAGGAGTAGGATGGGCAGTCTCCTCCTGTCTGCTTTACTGTCTCTGGATACCCACTGGAGGGTCAGCTATGGTTCAGTTCCAACTCAATGGTACTCACGAACAAATATAATCTTTATAGGGTTAAATATGAGAAGTGCTGTTACTGAGACTCATCAGGGATACTTTGGAGCTAATTCTTTTTTCTTCTCTCACCTTTTCAGAAATCATTCGCAACACTTCACCCTTCCAATCTAACTATCACTTCTAGGCTTTGCTTTCTCTGGACACTCCATCTTCACCTCCATACTCTAGATCTGCTTCACCTTTATTCCCTGGAATTTAGTTAAGGAGTATTTCCATACGTCAAAGAAATACACAGAGGCTAGATACATATGGCTGAAATTTCTATTTCATACTTTTGATGTACTCCATACATTAAACCTACCACTGAGATTCCCTTCATTGTTATACCCAGTTTGTAAAAGTACAAATAATTTCAGCAAAAGAGTTGTAGAAATATTTCATAATCTCCATGTAAGGACTTAATAAATTATAGGTGTGTCAGATTCAGGTCATAGTCTGATTACTTGCTATACATCTGAGAGCTGGACAATGAATAAGGATGCCAGGAAAAGAACTGATGCCTTTGAGCATGTTAGAGAGGAGTATGGAACATCCCATGGATGGCCAAAAGAACAAACAGATATGTCTTGGAGTGCTCTCTGGAGGGAAGAATGATGAGGATTCACCTCACATACTTTGGGCATGTTGCTAGGTGGTGCTATTCTCTGGAAAACGGACATGATGCTGGGAAGGGTAGAGGGTCAGCCAAGGAGAGACCAGGTGACCTGACAAAGTGACTGCTGCCGTGGGCTCTTGAGTGTCAGCAAGTGTAAGGATGGTACGGGATAGAACAGGGTTCAGATCTTTTGTTCATAGGGTCACTATACAATGAGGTCACAGCATAAATCACTTAACAGATGAAGTCAGGTTCAGCCAACATGTCTGTTAAGACATAAGCCTCTAAGATTTTACAATAGAACAGAACTTACTAAGACACCCTTTTCAGGATTGAAGACACGGAATAGATAGGGACCACTTTTATTCACTTTGAAAGCATTCATTTTACTTTAGTAAACAAAAATCCAAATGGCTTTAAATTTATTTGGGGCTAAACTTGCCCCTGTGATTTTTTTTATTGCAACATATACTTTTATGGGAAAACTTATAGATAAAATAAAACACACTTTAATCATTGTTGCTATTACGATGTTAAGTGCCATCAAGTTGAGCATAACTCATAGCATCTATATAAAATGAAAAAGGAAAAAGAAATGGAAACTCAAGTCATGAAATTATTTCTGAATGTGAGAGTTCAAAGGCTCTAGAGCTCTGAAATCTACTTCTAAGGGAAATTTAAAGAAAGATAAAAGCACCCTTTTACTTGGACTTGGTAAATACAGCCCAATTCCCAGGAAAAGGGACTGAGTTGAATACTATATTGAGGGTATCTCTATGGCAAACTGATTTAGATAACGATAGTTTAAACATATTCATTAAGATCATTTAATACTGCAGAAATGTGGAATAAATAGGCACAAGGATTTAAAGCAATGATGATACATTTGTTAGACTAAATGTATTTTAAAATACATTGTATTTCTTTTTTATTAACAGGACATCAGTGGCTCATTCACTTTATCATCATCTGTTATAAAATTATTATTATATAATCTTAAAATATATTTGTCACTTAAAAAATGAGATTGTTTACTACAAACATCAGATAAAATATTTATTACTCTGTTTTGTCCCATCTCAAGGGAACAGAAATGAACATATATTTTAAGCAAGACATTTTACCATGGAAAAAAAATACATAAAACATAGAAATATATGCCATGTCACATGATACAAGTAATTATCAGTCATGATCATCACATTTACAACAATTTGTAAAGACCTCCTCTGAAGGGAATGTACTCTTGTCAGTCAAACTTCTCATCTTGAAAGTAGTCTGCTTCTTGGAGAGAGTCTTGAAGTACATGATATTTCTGCATTAAAATAAGACAATTATTTCAAAGACAATTAGGCCTTTTCAATCTACAGTCACAAATAGTAATAAGCATGCTTCAGAATGGCAGTTATGAACAAAATCATTTTTATCATTAATCAGAATATAATTAGAACAACCATTTCCATCTCCTTAGGAACTCTGGTGGCTTGGTGGTAAGGAGTCGCACTGCAAACTCAAAGGTACATGGTTTGAACCAATCAGCTGCTCCAAGGGAGAAATAGAAGTGGTCTCATCTTATGCAATATACTGCCTTTGAAACCGCTGGAGAGTCAGCTATAAGTCAGTTCAGATTCAATGGTATATAACAATATTTCTTTCTCACAGAAAACACTGGCAAGAGTTCAGCTTTTTATTACTACTACTACCGCATTTTAATAACTCATACCTTTTCTATAACAGAAATGCAATGACTTCAATAATTAAAGTTTTCTTGAATATATTATATAAAATATTTAAATACTGCAAGTCTAGTTACCTTAAAAATAAGACACATTCTTTGCTTCTGAAATTATAGTTTAGGAGCAATATAGAATTAACATTTAACAAGTAGCACAAAAAAGTACAGACACTGTATTTAGGGATTTCAGAAAAGAGGTGTTGGCAACTTGAGGTGACAGGAAAACATCATAAAAAATGGGTTTTACGTGGCACTTGAGAATCTGAACTGAAAAGGATAGGATAAGAGAATTAAAAGTATGAAATGGTAGGTTTAGGAGTTGATTAACACTTTGATAGGCAAAAGAAGCTGCTGAAGGTTTCTGAGCAGAGGACTGAAAATGGCTGCACAGCCAAGTTCAGGGGAGTCTGGCAACTGGATCAGGTAATGAGCGCCCAGATTTGCATGATAGCAATAAAGTAAGAAAGTAAAGGGCAACAAGCGAAGAGCATGAAGTAGAATAAGCTAAGAAAGGAGTGAGGATGATGTGGAGATTTTAAGGTTGAGAGTAGAAGAAGAATGGCAGGGCTTTTTCTCAGGCAGGTTGGGAAATGGGAAGAGATGCACGTTATTCTGGCGTACAGAATTCCTGGTAGGCATGTGGAAAATCACTTCATTGGAGGAGATGAAATGATCCAATAATTTCCTGATTATATTTATGAATTCTAATCATAGGCCCAATGGGCATGAGAGGGTATTGTTGAGGTGCATGTTTGTGGTGACAGGGACTCACAGAAAGCACTACGGAAAGTATGTTTTCCTCCACAGCTGGGCCATTAGACCCCTTTCTCCCTCCAAACACAGTTCTCTGCGACTGGATCACTGTTTCCAGAAAGGAAGAACCTGAAAGCGAAGAGCCTATGGACTACTTAGTGGGTCTTGTGGCTTAGTAACCAGGCAGTTTACAATAGCTTGCTGTTGTTGTTGGGTACTGTTGAGTTGCTTGCGACTCATAGAGAACCCATGTACAACAGCCCTGAAACCTGCTCTATCCTGTGCCAACTTTACTGTTTCCAACACACCCACCCTCACCACTCCAGTCACTGTATCAGTCCATCTCATCGATGGTTTCCCTGTCTTTTTCTCCATCCCTTGACCTTTCTAAGCATGCAGTTCCTCTCCAATGACTGGTCCCTCCTTGCAATATGCCCAAAGTATGTCATATGAAGTCTCAGAAACCTTGCCTCCAAGGAGCTGGCTGGCTTCACCTTCTCTAGGACAAACATGTTTGTTTTCCCGGCAGTCCATTCAGCACTATTCTTCAGCACTACAGCTCAAAGGCATCAATTTGACTCTCTACCATGCCTAGTCATCATCTAGCTCTCCGACACATTGCAATTCAGAATGGAATATTCATCAAGATAAAGGAAACAAATCCTCACCACGGGATCAGTAGGTGACTTAATGAAAATGGAAAAAAAGATTAATCTTGTCAATGATTTAATTTTACTTGGATTCAGAATCAACACCAATGGAGGCAGCAACCAAGTAACTAAAAAACATATCACTTTAAGCAAATCTGTTGCTAAGGACCTCTTTAAAATATTAAAGAGCAAGAATATCAGATTAAAGACTAAGATGTGCCAAAAATTGTTTCACATGAAGGTGAAAGATGTACAATGAATAAGAAAGACTGAAAAGAACCACTGCCTTTGAATTGTGCTGGTGAAGAGCATTGTATATGGACAGCAGAAAGAATAAGCAAACATGTGTTTGAAGAAGTGCTGTCTTAGTGCCCCATAGATGCAGAACTTGTGAGGCTTTGTCTCACATACTTTGAGCATGTTGTCAAGAGGGGCCAGTCCTTGGAAGGGGAAAATATACATGGAAAGTCGGAGGGTGCAAAGGAGAAGAACTTCAATGAGCTCGACTGCCAAAGTGACTGGAGCAATGGACTGCAAGCACAACAGGAGCTGTGAGACTATATCGCGTGATCAGGCAAGGTTACAATATGTTGCACAGAGGGTCATTATGACGGCATGGCACCTAACAACAACTTCCTGGTTCAAGCGGAAGGAGGGACAGAAAGAACAAAGTCAGTTTAATGATCAGGATTTTGGAAAGGATGGCTGGGATACCCTAAGAGAACAGAATAAAAGTGTTAGGAAGAGGAGGGGCAAGAAAGGGAAAAAGCAAAGTGTGAAACACCAGCTCAGGGGTAAAAACAAATAGTGTGTGTAAGGAAGGAGGATGGGATGGACATTATAGGGAGTGAGTGAAGGGCAGAAATGGTATTGAATATGGGCATTCAAATATTACTGAGTTTAAGGCATTTGAGAGGATCTTATTAATGGGGATCATGAGATTGTATCCAGAAGAGATACCTATCACACAAACACACATAGGGATATCCCCAAAGACAGACAGACAGACAGACAGACACAGTCAAACTAAGGTATACCAGACACCTGACATATTGTGAAATTTAATCATAGCACAAAAATTCGCATGTGAATTTATTTTCGTGGTAAACTGGTATGGTTTCTAGTGAATCAGAGAAACTCTATGGATAGATAATTTTTTTAAAGTAGGAGGGATCCCTCCGCAAAGTAAAGCACTTTGGGATTTTTACGTACAAAAATGTGCCTGTTATCCCAAACATACACCACCTTGAAAAAGTTCTGTACCCAATGTTAAGTGGTATTCATTCTGCATAATATAGTACTTATTCTTTTCCTACAAGTCTGTCTTGGAGGAAGTATAACCAGAGTGGTTCTTACAGGCAAAGATGGTGAAACTTTGTCTCACATACTTTGGGCATGGTATCAGGAAAGACCAATCTTTAGGAAAAGGAGCCCTGCTGGCCTAGTAGTAAGAGGCTACATGGCAATCCCAAACGCATGCAGTTTGAATCCACTAGCTGCTCCAGGGAAGAAGGATGTGGAATCTCTTCTCATGTGATTAACTGCCTCTGAAAACCAGCTGGAGGGTCAGCTGTCAGTCGGTTCTGACTTGATGGCCACAAGAACAACCGGGAAGAAAAGAGGGCCAGTGAGGGAGAGGAAGACTCTCAGTGAGCTGGAACAACACAGTGATGGCAATACAAGCATGAGTATGACTGTGATGGATACTGTAAGAATGGTGCAGGACAGGACAAGGTTGGATTCTGCTCATCACAGGGTTGCCAGATGAAGCACAGGTAACTTGATGTCACCCAAGAGCAACACATGAACTGAATATGCTTTTCATTGTCCGTCTTCATTATAATTTTTATTCTATAGCAAATTTTTATTCTCTGTGGGAGAAGGCTGGGCAACCTCCTCCCATGAGATTAACTAACTGCCTCTGAAAACCTGCTGGAGGGTCAGCTATGGGTCGGTTCTGACTGTATGGTAAACAACAACAGTATAACAACAATCGATAGATAATGAATATACAGTGGGTTTTCATAACTATTGTACATAACTATTTCTAAATGTGGTATTACATCACATTCTTTAATTTCATCTCAGGTTTAGAAACACTTAAATGCCTCAATACAGGTACTTAACAATTTACTGTTGCTGAAGAAAATGTGTCCAGGAGCAGGGAGGTTACTGGACAACTGCAGGCTCTTTCCTAAGACAAGTGGAAAAACATGGACAAATAGGGGAAGAACAAAGTTTGTTTAACTGGCGGAGCAGGGGAAATGTGTAAGTAAAGTATAAGATAAACACCTGAAAAGGCTAAAGTGAGAGAAAAAGACTGTCAAGATGCAGGAGTCAGACCAGAGGATTGTTGTGTGATGCCTACGGCAGGAGGGAAACCAGTAAGAGTGCCATTGTCCAAACAGGGCAGATGACCGCTGAGCTCCACGGAGTTCCTTTTGGTTGTTCCTTTTTTCTTTCCCTTTGCTCATAATTTTATATTCTAAATCCTCTTGCCTTCTTTGTACTTCCCTCTTTTACAAGTTTCTCTATGACATAACCTAGGTAATGGATGTCATGTTGGGCTTACCCTCCCATTTTCTTTAAGATGAAAAATACTACTGATCTCAAGTAATTGCCTGCTTGAAAGCATACATGTTCATTAAGCAGACTTGTTTTAGAGGAATATAATCATACAAGCATTTCCATGTACCACAAACAATTCTAAAAGCTCTGTGAGCAAAACAGACCTAAGCCACCAGCAGATTTCTGAGAATCCAGTGCACTCTTCAAAACCCCTACTTTATAATCAATAGAATGTTGTTGTTGTCATGTGCTGTCGAGTCACTTGTCACACTAAGCACAAGAGCCTTGAACCCTGTCTTTTCCTGAGCCAATCTCACTGTATCATCCATACTTCCATTACACCAGTTACTGTGTCAGGGGCTCTTGTTCAGGATCTTAAATCTCTTGCACTGTCTCTCCATCCTTTCAAGTATGATGTCCTTCTCCGAGGACCAGTGTCTCCTGGCTACGTGTCTGAATTATATGAGACAAAGCTTCAAAGAACAACTTGGCTTTACCCTCTCTAGGAAAAATCTGTTAGTTCTCTTGGCAGTCCATGCTATGCTCAATATTCTTCTCCAGCACCACAGCTCAAAGGCATTAATTCTTCTGTCATTCTTAGTCATTGTCCAGCTCTCTGATGTATAGCAAACAATTGCAAAGACCATGGCCTGGATCAGTTTCACCTTAGTCTCCAGAGAGACATTGTTGTTCTTTAGCACTCTGGAGAGGTTCCTGACAGCAACTTTTCTTAATGCAATTTGTCTTTTGATTTCCTGACTGTTGGTGCTGAGAGTATTGATTGTGGAGTCAAGCAAGCTAAAATTGTTAATAATCTTAATTTCTTCTCCATCTATCATGATGCTGCCAATTGGCCCTATTGTGAAAATCACTGTTTATTTGATGTTTAGTTTCAATTTATATTGAAGGCTGCAGTACTTTTGCAGCAAATGCTTCAGGTTCTCTTCAGTTTGAGCACGCAAGACTGTGTCATCTGTATAACACAAGTTATTGATGAGTCTTCCTCCAATCCGAATGCCACATTCTTCCTCATAAAGTCTAGCCTCTTGAATGATTTGTTTTGTATATACATTGAAAAGGTATGCATCCCTGACATACTCCTGTCCTAATTTTGAATCATACAGTGTTTCCTTGCTCTGTTCTGACAACTGCTTCTTGATCCAGGTAACAAACTGTGGCTGACTCTGAGAAGAATGGGAATCCCAGAACACTTGATCATTCTAATGTGAAACCTATACTTGAACCAGGAGGCAGTTGTCAGAACAGAGCAAGGGAACACTGCATGGTTCAAAACTGGGAAGGGCATACAGGGGATGTGTCCTATCTCCACACCTTTTCAACCTGTGTGCAGAACAGATTATCCGGGAGGCTGGGCTCTATGAGGAGAAATGTGGGGTCAAGATTGGTGGACGATCTATCAACAATCTGCGTTATGCGGATGACACAACCCTGCTTACTGAAACTGAGGAGGACCTGGAGCACCTGCTGCAGATGGTCAAGGACTGCAGCCTTCAATATGGATTGAGGCTCAATGTCAAGAAGACAAAGATTCTCACCACTGGACCAATTGGCAGCATCAGGATGGATGGTGAAGAGATTGAGATTGTTCACAAGTTTCACATAAGCACAATCAAGTGTTCTGGATTCTCATCCTTCTCAAGGTCAGCCACAGTTTGTTGTGATCCACACTGTCAAATGACTTTGCACAGTCAATGAAACAAAGATAGACATTACTCTGGTACTGTCCGCTTTTAGCCAAGATCCACCTGACCTTGGCTATGAAGCCCCTAGTATCACTGCCTCTTTTAAATGCAGCTTGTATTTCTGGAAATTCTCTGTTGATGTACTGTTCCAGTTGTTTTTAAAAAATCTTCAGCAGGATTTTGCTTGTGTATGTTATCAGTGATATTGCTGAATAATTATCACACTCTGTTGATCTTTTTTTCTTTGGAATGAGGATAAATACAGATCTTTTCCAGTTAGTTGGACAGGCAGGCAGTTGTCCTCCAAACTTCCTGGCACAACTTAGTGAGCATGTCCAGGGCAGCATCCATCTGCTGAAACATGTCAATTGGTATGCCATTAATTCCTGGGGCCATATTTTTTGCCAAGTCCTTCAGAGCAAAATGAACCTCCTCCTTCATCACAGTTGTCTCTTGATCATACATTGCGTTATGAACTTCTTCTGTGTTAGTGAAATCTTTTTGGTACAGTGACTCTGTGTACTCCTTCCATCTTCTTTTGATGCTTCCTGGGTCACTCAATATTCCGCCCAGATTACCCTAACTCGAGGCTTGAATTTATTCTTCAGTTCCTTCAGCTTAAGATATGTTGAGTTAAAAGAAAACCCTTTTGGGTTAAAAGAAAACCTTCCTGTTCTTTGTACCTTTCATTAAAATACTTTCCTTTGTCTTCTCAAGCTGCCCTTTTAAATCTTCTGTTCAGCTCCTTAATTTCCTGATATTTTCTCTTTGTTTTGGCATCTTGGTGTTCTAATGAAATACTTATTCTCTTCTGACATCCATCTTGGTTTTATATATATATACACACACACACACACACATATATACATATATATATAAATACACACACATATACATATATATACACACACACACATATATATATAAATATATAATTTTTTAAATTAATTTTAATGAACATTTACAGAGATTTTGGATTTCCATTCATTCATTGTTGCATTTTTCCCCCCTGCCCCACCCCTCCTCCCCAGTTCGCTCTTCTCTTTGGAAAGTAGAAGAAAAATTCTTTCATTGGTATACAATCATCTCCCCCCTCACCCCCCTAGTACACTTCACTATACAACCTTCATTCTGGACTCTTGTCATAATGATAATACCCAATCATATATCGCTATTAAACTGTTCTCTCCCTCATTTGTTTCAATGCAGTATATATAATTTATCCAATTTTTCTCAGTCTCACCCCAACCCTGATATCAGTCCCATGGATGACATCATGGATGATATTCTTGATATCCTTCCACAGTTCGTCTCAAGTGTTCATTAGTGTTCAATGCTTCAAACCTGTCTCTGAGATGGTTTTTACATTCAGGTGGGACAGACTCAAAGTCATATTTTGGTTCTTGTGGCTTTGTTTTCATTTTCTTCCGGTTCTACTCGAACTTGCACATGAGTAGGCGGTGGTCTTTTCCACAATCAGCACCTGGCCTGGTTTTCACAGTTGATAAGCAGGGGACTAAAAAATCAGTTGCTATATCCTGAAACTTCTGCATTCCACTCATTTCTCAGTCATAATGCTCACTGCTCAATCCTAAATCCTCAAGAAGATGTGGGTAGTATTAGAATTGACAGGTAAGATCCTTTCCTCACACTGGCACAAGTCCAGGTCACAGGAACTGTTATAAAGAATAGGGAGTGGGCAGAGGTGAATCTTATACCTTGTCAAAGAAAAGAAAGATAATATACCTGTAAGACATAAATAGGTATGTTTTGGAAAGCGTGCAGTCAGAGGGTTCCTTAGAAGCTTTGTTCTCACATTTTTTGGGCATGTTGTTAGGAAGAGTAATTCCTTAAAGAGGGATATCATGCTTAGAAAGGTAGAGGGGTCAGTGAAAGAGTGGAAGACCTTCAATGAAATGGACTGACACAGTGACTGCAACAATGGGCTTTAGAATGTCAGAGAGGATGAGGATGGTGCAGGACAGAAGAGGGTTTGGATCTGATGAGCATAGTGTCACCAACCAACCTATCTGTAAACTTATGTGTAAAGAATATTACACATGCAAAAGTGAAAGGACAGAGACTTTGCATTAAGAGACAGTGTCACTGCTTACTAAGATTTTATCTGGTGAGCCGAATGAGTGCTTAGAACATCTGGGCACCTGTTTATGGAAGGATCATGATAAGCATGAAAGGAATATGTGGAAGAAAACATATGAAGACAGAAGAAAGATTTTGTTTTAAGTGTCACTCTCTTCTCATCATTTATATCCTTTGGCTAACTATAATTAGGTTCCAGAATCTACAGAAAGGAATTACCTCCTTAATCCAGTGATCTTCATTTAACTGGTTGAAAATTCTTTCCACTGTTTTTTCAACTTGTTCATCTTCTATTTTTTCTATCTCTGCAAAGGAGCAGCATTCCTGGTAGAGTTTGAATTTAAAATGTTTCAGTTCATGATAAATCTTGGTACGAGCAGCACAGGTATTACCAACTTTAAACACCTAAATCAAGAAATAAACAATATTAGCTGACTTATCCAGTAACAGAGTAATGAACACCTAGTTTGCAGATTTTTTTAGTAATAAAATTTAATAATGCAACAATATTTTTTTTTTAATTTATACTATTTAAACCTGCAAAAGCCAAAATCTTTGGGAGGAAAATTATCAGAGAAAGAAAATGTAAGCATTTTTTTTTTTTACTGAAGAGGGGCAGTAGGAAATGGTAGGGCTGAAGCCTGTCAACAGTAGAAACATTTTGAGACCCAGTAAGTACTTCACATGAATGGAATCATATAATTTATGTTATATAGGATATATTAGTCCATATGGTTAACAAACATAGCAGGCTATTAACAGTTTACTGGGAGCCCTGGTGGTGCAGTGGTTAAATGCCTCTCTACTGAAAGTCTGGGCATTGGAACTCACTCTCTACTCCTGGGAAGAAAGATGTAGGAGTCTTCTTCTGGAAGAATCACAGCCTCGGACTATAGAGTGCTACTCTGTCTGATAAGGTTGCTTTGCATTGGAATCGACTTAACAGCAATGAGATGTGGGCGAGTATAATATAAATATATAAACAAAAGGAGACAGGGACAGTGGTCCACGTGCCATATTATAGTGATTACATGAATCTATTATTTTCTACAAAGCCTTAGAGAAATTGCTTAGGATCTTTCCTATAAAATGAGCTGACCATTATATTGGGGAAAATATAACAAGAGAATATTATAAAGGCAGTTTTTAGTTTATTGATCTATATAGGTAGATGGCAAGAGGATATGTATAAACTAACTACAGAAACAAGAGAACAGCAATGCTTAATATTTTGAAGAATACTTGTGTTTCATATATTAACTCAAACTCACTGCAGTCAAGTCAGAACCAACTCATAGCTGGTCCTCCAGCAAGTTTTCTCAAGAGGAGATAGCTCATTTTTCTCTTAGGAGCCGCTGGAGGATTTTAACTGGTAGAACATGCCACCTTTGGGTAGGCAGCTAAATTCCCAATGGACTAGGCCATATTAGGAAACACATTTAAAATATAAAAACAAGGATTTTCTCCTTTCTTCACTAATGGAAGAATTCTTAAGAGATTAAGTTCATCTCATTTGGTAGAAATATTGAATACTATATATGAAAATCCTATTATTCTTAGTATTTTATCTATAACAGCCATAGGAATCTTCCACATAATCTGCTTTTAGGGAAGCAATGATGATGCCAAGTATTTGCCCTTTGAATGTTCAGAGTAGAAGCCCTAGGGATCACTACAACTATTGTTGAGGACTTTTCACACAGAGTGAGGTGCCTTGGCAAGTGAACTGTTAAGGTGTCAAGGACTGTTTTAATGATAATGTTGAAATGAGAAAGTTATCTATATTAAGCAATATTATTATTATTATTATTATTATTATTATTATTATTTATGTGTGTACTGTCAAACCGGATCTGACTGGAACAGGAGGCGATTATTCCTCCTTCTTCAGCAGAGCATCTGGTGGATTTGAATCGCGCACCTCTAGGATTGCAGTGCAGCTTCTTGCCACTAGGCTACCAGGCTACCAAGAGCAACGATGTCTCTCTGGAGACTAAGGTGCGTCTGATACAGGCCATGGTCTTCGCAATCACCTGTTATGCATCAGAGAGTTGGACAATGACCAAGGAGGATAGAAGGAGAATTGATGCCTTTGAGCTGTGGTGCTGGAGAAGAGTATTGAATGTACCACGGACTTCCAAGAAAACAAACAGATTCATCCTAGAGAGGGTTAAACCAGGCTACTCCTTGGAGGCAAGGATTCTGGGGCTTCATCTGACATACTCTGGACATGTTGTAAGGAGAGACAGGTCCTTGGAGAGGGACATCATGCTTGGTAGGGTGGAGGGACAGCGCAGGAGGGGAAGACCTCTATGAGGTGGATTGATTCAGTGACTGGGGTAATCGGAATGGGTGTGTCAGAAGCAATGCGATTGGCACAGAATAGAGCAGGGTTTAGGGTTGTTGTATATAGGGTCGCTATGAGTCGCAAACGACTCGGGCGGCACATAACAACATAACAACAACAAAGCAATATTAATTACTTCTAACCTGAAAAACACAGGATTTCCAAGAAATTTAAACATGAATGTATTCAATTTTTGAGGACTTAAAAAAAAGTAAAGCTGTCCATAGTCTCTTAATGCATTTGGCTCCTAACTAAAAGAAAGACAGATTTACAAATCAACTCTAAAAAATCAGCCATTGAAAAGCAGTTAGGATACTTTGACACAACCCAGGGGGTCTCAATGGTTCAAAACTGATGGAAGGCAATTGTTTTAAAAAATACACAAAATGTTCTCTATCAATGTCATTTTCAGAAGGAAACTCTAGTTGTGACACTAGATGTGACAACTATCAGGATGCAACTTTTCATTCATTTTTAGCAAGACTATCTTTGATCAGCTCTCTTGGTACCAGCAGCCAGGAAATTAAAAGACAAATTGCACTTGGAGAGTCTGCTGTCGGAGACCTCGCTAAAGTGCTGAAGAGCAATGATGTCAGTCTGGAGACTAAGGTGCACGTGACACAGGCCATGGTCTTTGCAATTACTTGCTATGCATCAGAAAGCTGGACAATGACCATGACTAGGGATGAGAGAAGGAGAACTAATGCCTTTGAGCTGTGGTGCTGGAGAAGACTGCTGAATGTACCATGGACTGCTAGGAGAACAAACATGTTCACCCTGGAGAGGGTGAAAGCGGAATGCTCCTTGGAGGCAAAGATTCTGAAGCTCCGCCTGACATACTTTGGGCATGTTGCAAGGAGGGTTCAGTCCTTGGAGAAGGACATCATGCTTGGGAGGTTGGAGGGACAACACAAGAGAGGAAGACCCTTGATGAGATGGATTGATTCAGTGACTGGGGTAATAGGGATGGGTGTGTCAGAGATAGTAAGATTGGCACAGGATAGAACAGGTTTTAGGGCTATCATACACAGGGTCGCTATAAACTGCAGGCGACTTAACAGCACATAACAACAACAATCTTTAATTGACTATCAGAATATCATCTTTTTTATGTTCTAAAAGTACACTATTGAACCCATGAAAGCAGTTATAGAGAATATTTTCCCCACGATTTACTAAATTTTATATTTTTCATGATGCAATTTTTTGTTCTTTGTTTCTACTTAATGAAATCTATTTTTTCACAATTGAATAAGCTTTTTAATATAGAATTGTTGTTCATTCACAGGGACCTCTGAGCTCTAAAAATGATTTCCCAACTAATAAATTCTTCTCAGGATTCACTGTAAATAGGAAAGGCAGTGAAATAACAGCAGTATTTTAGATCTACACTACAAAACATAGCCTTTAAAGTAGTAAATGACTTCTATTAGAACTCTTATTTTATAATTAGACAATGAAAACAAGCTCATAGAATTAAAATGTGATACTGAATGATTTCCACCTGTATTTAAAAACCATACTAAGAATAGGTTTGAAGCACTGACCACCAATGATTGAAGACCAGATGAATCGTGGTATGACATTAAGGATATCATCCATGAAGAGAGGAAAAGGTCACTACAAAAACAGAGGAGAAAG